TGTTGTGTGGTGTCAGCACCATTGTTGTGCGTGTGTCAGCACTATTGTTGTGTGTGTCACACCATTGTTGTGTGTCAGCACTATTGTTGTGTGTGTGTGTGTCAGCACCATTGTTGTGTGTGTGTGTCAGCACCATTGTTGTGTTTGTCAGCACCATTGTTGGGTGTCAGCACCATTGTTGTGTGTGTCAGCACTATTGTTGTGTTTGTCAGCACCATTTTGTGTGTGTCAGCACTATGTTGTGTCAGCACTATTGTTGTGTGTGTCAGCACCATTGTTGTGTGTGTCAGCACCATTGTTGTGTGTGTGTGTCAGCACCATTGTTGTGTGTGTGTGTCAGCACCATTGTTGTGTGTGCTTGGGGCACCATTGTTGTGTGTGTGCGTCAGCACATTGTTGTGTGTGTCAGCACATTGTTGTGTGTGTGTGTCAGCACCATTGTTGTGTGTGTGTGTGTGTGTCAGCACCATTGTTGGTGTGTGCACCATTACTGTTGTGTGTGTGTGTCAGCACCATTGTTGTGTGTGTCAGCACTATTGTTGTGTGTGTGTGTAGCACCATTGTTGTGTGTGTTTGTCAGCACCATTGTTGTGTGTGTGTGTCACACCATTGTTGTGTGTGTCAGCACCATTGTTGTGTGTGTCAGCACCATTGTTGTGTGTGTGTGTGTCAGCACATTGTTGTGTGTGTGTGTCCTGCACTATTGTTGTGTGTGTGTGTCAGCACTATTGTTGTGTGTGTGTGTCAGACCATTGTTGTGTGTGTGTGTCAGCACCATTGTTGTGTGTGTGTGTGGCCAGCACCATTGTTGTGTGTGTGTCAGCACTATTGTTGTGTGTGTGTGTGTCAGCACCATTGTTGTGTGTGTGTGTGTCAGCCATTGTTGTGTGTGTCAGCACCATTGTTGTGTGTGTCAGCACTATTGTTGTGTGTGTCAGCACTATTGTTGTGTGTGTGTCAGCACTATTGTTGTGTGTGTGTGTGTCAGCACTATTGTTGTGTGTGTGTGTGTGTCAGCACTATTGTTGTGTGTGTGTGTCAGCACTATTGTTGTGTGTGTGTGTCAGCACCATTGTTGTGTGTGTGTGTGTGTGTCAGCACCATTGTTGTGTGTGTGTGTCAGCACTATTGTTGTGTGTGTGTGCAGCACATTGTTGTGTGTGTGTGTCACACTATTGTTGGTGTGTGTGCGCCGCACCATTGTTGTGTGTGTGTCAGCACCATTGTTGCGTGTGTCAGCACTATTGTTGGTGTGTGTCAGCACCATTGTTGTGTGTGGGGCACATTGTTGTGTGTGTGTGTCAGCACTATTGTTGTGTGTGTGTGTCAGCACTATTGTTGTGTGTGTGTCAGCACTATTGTTGTGTGTGTGTGTCAGCACCATTGTTGTGTGTGTGTGTCAGCACTATTGTTGTGTGTGTGTGTGTCAGCACCATTGTTGTGTGTGTCAGCACCATTGTTGTGTGTCAGCACCATTGTTGTGTGTGTCAGTACTATTATTGTGTGTGTGTGTGTCAGTACTATTGTTGTGTGTGTGTGTCAGCACTATTGTTGTGTGTGTGTGTCAGTACTATTGTTGTGTTGGTCATTATTGTTTTTGTTGTCAGTACTATTGTTGTGTTGTGTCAGTACTGTTGTTTGTGTGTGTAGTATGCTTGTTGTTGTTTTGTGTCAGTACTGTTGTTGTTATTGTTGTGTCAGTACTATTGTTGTGTGTGTGTGTCAGTACTATTGTTGTGTGTGTGTGTCAGTACTATTGTTTGTGTGTGTGTCAGTACTATTGTTGTGTGTGTGTGTCAGTACTATTGTTGTGTGTGTGTGTCAGTACTATTGTTGTGTGTGTGTGTGGTGTGTTGTTGTGTGTGTGTGTGTCAGTACTATTGTTTGTGTGTGTGTGTGTGTCAGTACTATTGTTTTGTGTGTGTGTTGCTATTGTTTTTGTGTGTGTGTCAGTGCTATTGTTGTGTGTGTCGTGCTTTGTTGTGTTTTTGTGTGTGGGTTTTGTGTGTGTCAGTGCTATTGTTGTGTGTGTGTCAGTACTATTGTTTGTGTGTGTGTGTCATTACTATTGTTTGTGTGTGTGGTGCTATTGTTTGTTATTGTTGTGTCAGTACTATTGTTGTTGTCAGTACTGTTGTTGTTATTGTCAGTGCTATTGTTGTGTGTGTGTGTGTCAGTACTATTGTTGTGTGTGTGTCAATTGCTATTGTTGTGTGTGTGTGTCAGTACTATTTGTTTGTGTGTTTGTGTCAATTACTGTTGTTTGTGTGTCAGTACTATTGTTTGTGTGTGTCAGTACTATTTGTTTGTTGTCAGTACTATTGTTGTTTTGTGTTATGTCCAGTTTATTGTTGTGTGTTATTGTGTGTCAGTACTGTTGTTGTGTGTGTGTGTCAGTACTATTGTTGTGTGTCAGTACTATTGTGTGTCAGTGCTGTTGTTATTGTGTTATTGTTGTGTGTGTCAGTACTATTGTTGTGTGTCTGATTACTGTTTGTGTGTGTGTCAGTACTATTGTTGTGTGTGTGTGTGTCAGTACTATTGTTGTGTGTGTGTGTCAGTACTGTTGTTGTGTGTGTCAGTCACTGTTGTGTGTGTCAGTACTATTGTTGTGTGTCAGTACTATTGTTGTTTGGTGTGTCAGTACTATTGTTATTTTGTTGTGTCAGTACTATTGTGTTTGTGTCAATTTATTGTTGTTTTGTCAATTACTATTGTTGTGTGTGTGTGTGTCGGTACTATTGTTGTGTGTGTCAGTACTTTATTTGTTGTGTGTGTCAGTACTATTGTTTTGTGTCAGTACTATTGTTTTGTTTGTGTGTCAGTACTGTTGTTGTGTGTGTGTGTCCATTACTGTTGTGTGTGTCAGTGCTGTTGTTGTGTGTCAGTTACTGTTGTTGTGTGTCAGTACTGTTGTTGTGTGTCAGTGCTGTTGTTTGTGTGTGTCAGTACTGTTGTTGTGTGTGTCAGTACTATTGTTGTGTGTCATTGCACTGTTGTGTGTCAGTACTGTTGTTTGTGTGTGTGTGTGTCAGTACTATTGTTGTGTGTGTGTTTCAGTACTTTGTTGTTGTGTTGTGTTGTCAGTACTATTGTTGTGTGTGTGTGTCAGTACTATTGTTGTGTGTCAATTACTATTGTTTGTGTGTGTCAGTACTATTTTTATTGTTGTGTGTGTGTCAGTACTATTGTTGTTGTGTGTCAGTACTATTGTTGTGTGTCAGTACTGTTGAGTGTGTGTGTGTGTGTCAGTACTATTGTTGTGTGTGTGTGTGAGTACTATTGTTGTGTGTCAGTACTATTGTTGTGTGTGTGTGTGTGTCAGTACTATTGTTGTGTGTCAGTGCTATTGTTGTGTGTGTCAGTACTATTGTTGTGTGTCAGTACTATTGTTGTGTGTGTGTCAGTACTATTGTTGTGTGTGTCAGTACTATTGTTGTGTGTGTCAGTACTATTGTTGTGTGTTGTGTTGTGTCAGTTATTGTGTGTCAGTACTATTGTGTGTCAGTACTATTGTTGTGTGTGTGCTGTTGATTATTGTCAGTATTTGTTTGTGTTTGTCAGTACTATTTTTGTGTGTCAGTACTATTGTTTGTGTGTCAGTACTATTGTTGTGTGTGTCAGTACTATTGTTGTGTGTGTCAGTACTATTGTTGTGTGTGTGTGTGTACTATTGTGTGTGTGTGTGTCAGTGCTATTGTTGTGTGTGTGTGTCAGTACTATTGTTGTGTGTGTGTGTCAGTACTATTGTTGTGTGTCAGTACTATTGTTTGTGTGTGTGTCAGTACTGTGTTGTGTGTAGTGTTGTTGTGTGTGTGTCAGTACTATTGTTTGTGTGTGTGTGTCAGTACTATTGTTTGTGTGTGTGTGTCAGTACTATTGTTGTGTGTCAGTATTGTTATTACTTATTGTTGGTGTCGTATTATTGTTGTGTGTTGTTGTGTCAGTACTTTGTTGTGTGTAGTGTCAGTGTTGTTGTTTGTGTCAGTGCTGTTGTCGTTTTGTTGTTTGTGTCAGTACTGTTGTTTTGTGTTTGTTTGTCAGTTCTATTGTTTGTGTGTGTCAGTACTATTGTTGTGTTAGTGCTATTGTTTGTGTCAGTACTGTTGTTGTGTGTCAGTACTATTGTTTGTGTCAGTGCTGTTATTGTTGTCAGTACTTTGTTGTGTGTCATTACTTTGTTGTGTGTGTGTGTCAGTACTATTGTTGTGTGTGTGTGTCAGTACTATTGTTGTGTGTGTGTGTCAGTCTATTGTTGTGTGTGTGTGTCAGTACTATTGTTGTGTGTGTGTGTCAGTACTATTGTTGTGTGTTAGTACTATTGTTGTGTCAGTGCTATTGTTGTGTGTGTGTCAGTACTATTGTTGTGTGTGTGTGTCAGTACTATTGTTGTGTGTGTCAGTACTATTGTTGTGTCAGTACTATTGTTGTGTGTGTGTCAGTACTATTGTTGTGTGTGTGTGTGTCAGTACTATTGTTGTGTGTTAGTACTATTGTTGTGTCAGTATTATTGTTGTGTGTGTGTGTCAGTACTATTGTTGTGTGTGTGTCAGTACTTTATTGTTTGTGTGTACTATTGTTTGTGTGTTAGTACTATTGTTGTGTCAATAGCTGTTGTTTGTGTTATCAATAACAACATGAATAACCTAAATATGAAGTGATATAGAGTTGTAATATAATAAGACGAAAGCTAAGGTTGCTCCGTTGTTTCCATTTTCCGTGTGATTTTATCAAGATATATATATATATATATATATATATATATATATATATATTATATATATATATATATATATATATATATATATATATATATATATATATATATAAGAAAAGATATCCTCTTCGCAGATAAATTAAAAGGATATAAAAATTGGAGAAAATAAACCCCTTAGTAAATTCCTCACTACACCAGAAGGGGATGTAATAGTTTTTTATTGTCAATAAAATATTTACATCGGATGATAGTCTTGTTAGCGACCATGTTGTACTGCACTTACTTTTTAAGAAAATCAACAGGAAAATCCATTCTGACAATGGCGATGTCGTTAATAAGGTTGCCGGGTAAGTCTGGGTTGGGAGACAGCGTTGACGTCACTCTCGTAGTACGGGTAGAACTCTGTGTCGCGGTTCACGTCCCACTCTCCCAGGCGGATACGCAGCTCCGACGCCTCGTACCTGCCACCATACATTGTTACTGTATCGCTGTATATGGTCTTTTGTGCAGTAGCACAGCACAATATTTTTATTTGTCACATTATCTTACACTAACCATAGCCAATAAGTTGCAGAATCATGGAAACATAATATAGACCTCATAAATGAACTGATAAAAATAAAGTATTATTCCTGAAATTCTAGTTTTCAGTCAGGCCTAAAAATGGACGGCTCAAGACTATACAGTGCATGATTATACAGGTGTCAGTGTTGCACCTAAGATACCTTGACCCTGGAGGCTGGGATTAACACTAACGACCAGTAAACTTTCCTAAAACTTGCATTAGTCCGAACAATTAGAAACCCAGTTTTTTCCCTGTTAGCAACGACTGGCATGCACTGACTCCTGATTATATCTGAACCTGCTCCAGTGCTGGTCAAGTCTGGTCTTGAAACAGCTCACACTCGGTGCCGTCACAACACTCTGGCAGGTTTTTCCAAGAGTTCATAACTCTCACTCCGAAAAAGTTTGCCCTTACAGTTTTCATGACTTGCGGCTTCTTCAATCTTGAGCTGTGATCCCTTGTGGGGCGAGCGTCCGCCAGCTCCAGGTAAGGACAGTCGACTGAGTAGTGCCCTTTGAGATGTTTATACACCTCACTTAGGTCCCCCCTTGCCCGTCTATATTATAAGCTAGGCAATTGGCAGTACCTAGCATATCTCAGGGACCATACGGGGTGACAGTACTCCAGGCGGGGAAGCACCTCACTCTTGAAGATCGTTCCGAGGGATATCTGATATCTGAACGACCTTCTTGTAAGATCTAATAATTTAGTTGCTTGGTTCACCTTCTCACAATGGCCCGAGAATTTAGTTCATTGTCAACATACACACCTAGGTCCTTTTCACATTCAGTATCAATTAATGCAGTTTCTTCGTCCAGTTGGGATATATGATACGCTTCCTTACCGTTGGTACGTCCCAGGTGCAACCTCTTACATTTCGCAACACTGAATCTTAGCAGCCATTTCTTCGACCATTCTTGAAGCTCACAGAAATTCTTCTGCAGCTCTTCACAGTCTGCTTGGCTCTTAATTCCCCTAAATAACTTGGCATTGTCCGTAAACATTTGTAGGGAGAAATGTACAGCTTCTGGCATGTTATTTATGAAGCAAACAAGCAACAACAGGCTCAATACACTGCCCTGTGGTACCCCACTTGTCACGATGTCACAGGTACACACACACTGCTTGCGATCATAGAGAAAGTCTCCGATCCACGCTAGGACACTTCCCCGAATCCCGTACCCTTCCAGTTTAATTTTCAGCCTTTCATGGGGTACGCTTGTCAAGCCTTGGCAAAATCTAGGTATATATATTGTCGATATTACCACCCTGTTCCAGAATTTGGGTCCAAACATCCAGTACCTTGAGTAATTATGTTAAGCAGGAACGTCCCGGCATAAAACTGTTTTGGCAATCCTTTACAAGTTTGTTTCGTAGTAGATGTTTCATCATGGCATCTCTTATAATGCTCTCAAGTACTTTACATACTATGCTGGTCAGGCTCAACGGTCTATAGTTATTCGTGGAGTGACGATCGCCCTTCTTGAATATAGGACTCACATAAACCATTTTCCAATCACTGGGGACCTTCTGCTCATCCAGGCATTTGCAGAACAGGATCTTCAGGGGCTCAGCAAGCTCGCTGCACAATTATCTTAGCACTCTGGGATGCACCATGTTAGGGCCGGGACTCTTATGAACCTTTGGGTTTGACAATTTGTTTCTTATAACCTCTTCTGAGAACACAATGTGGGTCAGCCTTTGTTTCGAACATCCGTCCTCAAACGCAGGGAGATTGTTCGCATCCTCTCTTGTGAACACCGAGGAAAATAATCTGTTCAACTCCTCCGTTTTGTCCTCGTCAGAATCTGCGTAACAACCATCTTCAAGCTCCAGGTCCGATACTCCTACTCGCGTTTCTAATTTCGACTTTCCGTCGAGGTAAAACGTCTATGGGTTTGACTTGACCTCGCTTGCAACCAGCCTCTGGAACTCCTTTTCAGCCCCTCTACACTCTGACTTTGCTTGGTTCTTGGATCTTGCATACATCCTCCTGTCCTGCTTATCATTTGGCCTAACCACGTCTTGAATTTCTGGGTTTCTTCTTAACTTTACTTACCGCCGCATGGTTCATGTGTAGCGGTCTCCTTGTATTCCTGGAGGCACTGGGTTTGGTCTTTGGTGTATATTTCTCGATCATATGGGTCACTTTACTGGCTATGATATTCAGCGTAGTGTCTGCGTTTTTATACCTTAGTGAGTCAGGCCAGTGGATACCCCTCATCCCGTCGTAATTTCCATTGTCATATTTGGTTTTGTCGTGAACCAAGTAACAGTTAATTTTGAAGGACAACGTTACTTGGTGATTGGTGTTCCAGCGTGGATTCATTTCTCCAGTCTATAATGACCCTTAAGTTCCTTTTGTTTAATAAGCTTCAGTTTGGAGATCTGTAACTACATCCGACAATAAGTAAGTCTTTCCCCTTTAATTTATATTTAACCGATTCAAGTGGCAGATTGTAGCATTGTTAATGTAGATTTAATTTATACTATTAAAAGACATCATACATATGGTTTGCAGTTAATAACGTAAGTATAAGTGAAGGTCATGTTTACCAAATTAACAGTTTAGGGGCAATGAATATTTTTTTTACATGATAACAATGTATGATAATGCCATAAATATTTTTTGGTCCAAAGTCATGTGTACTTTAAATTAAAACAAACAATACTTTGTTTCCCTGTTTTTACACTCACGTTGCTCTCTCACAATCAACAGTTCTTTTTATCCAAATTTTTCTGCCACTTCAGTGATTATGCCTGCTTCTTCGTAGCCATCGGCTGAGAGCTACCTTCTTTATCCCTACATTAGATGGATCACTCTGGTTGTGATGCGTCAGATAAGTTTAAGAAATAGCATTTTCAATCTTATGTACACTTCCACAATAGGGCTGACAGTCTCCCTCGGACAGAGAATCGATCTTCCTATTCATTTACCGTGCTTATCTTACTTCGATTATACTGTATGCTGCTCAAATGTAGAATAATGGCTGCCAGGATACGAGGGTTCATTTCGAAGAGTGTCAGTGACAGGAGCAGAAGTGTTGTTTTACAGTTTATCTCTACATAATGAAACCTCACTTGGATTATGTGGTTAAGCTTTGGTTACAATACTATGGGATGGAAATAAATTCTCTGAAAAGAATTCAGAGGAGGATGACAAAGTTGATCCCGGGGATTAGGAACTTACATTTAGAGACAGATTAAGAAAACTGAATTTCCACTCTTCAGAGACGTAGAGCGAAAGGAGATATGATCAAAATGTATATATGCAAATTGGGTTTACATAAAGGTAGTGGTTATTAATACGGAAATTTTACTATCAAATTAGAAACGAACACGTAGCAATAGGTTTGACCTCAAGAAATTTAGATTTAAGAAGGTATTAGGCAAACATTGAGTTGTGGATGAGCGGAACAAGTAACCAAACACCATCATTAACTCGTAATCGTTGGGAAGCTTCAAATATAGGCCATGGTTATTGGCATGGGCTAAATTCGGTTTCCTTTACTGCATTCTTATGTTTTTATGACAAGGATAACTATTATTTTTTTTCGTTCACAAAGGCTCATCCTCCTAAGAGCCGAGTGAGCCATAGAAGTTATAAGGTATGGAAGAGTCTCGCAGCGGTAATGAAAGAGCTGAGTAAGCTTTACGGTTTCAGCCATTTTGAGACCGAAACGTACGGTCTTGACAGGATATAATGAATGATATGGACCGTTTTGTTACGTCCAGCATGAAACTTGTAGATACCAACACTAAAAGTTAGGAGTCTCATTATTGTCAAGAATTCGAGCTTTAAAACAACAGCTGTAACTCTGAAACTTTCTCCCCGACGATACTGTAAGGATGAAGTTAGCCTTAATTGTTGCTAACTCCAAGCATCCACCTCCAACACTCCAACCATCCACCTCCAACACTCCTACCATCCACCTCCAACACTCCCACCATCCACCTCCAACACTCCAACCACCCACCTCCAACACTCCTACCATCCACCTCCAACACTCCCACCATCCACCTCCAACACTCCAACCATCCACCTCCAACACTCCAACCATCCACCTCCAATACTCCAACCATCCACCTCCAACACTCCAACCATCCACCTCCAAAACTCCAACCATCCACCTCCAACACTCCTACCATCCACCTCCAACACTCCAACCATTCACCTCCAACACTCAACCATCCACCTCCAACACTCCAACCATCCACCTCCAACACTCCTACCATCCACCTCCAACACTCCTACCATCCACTCCAACCTCCCACCATCCACCTCCAACACTCCAACCATCCACCTCAACACTCCAACCATCCACCTCCAACACTCAAACCATCCACCTCCAACACTCCAACCATCCACCTCAACACTCCAACCATCCACCTCCAACACTCCAACCATCCACCTCCAACACTCCAACCATCCACCTCAACACTCCAACCATCCACCTCCAACACTCCAACCATCCACCTCCAACACTCCTACCATCCTCCAACACTCCTACCATCCACCTCCAACACTACCCATCCACCTCAACACTCCAACCATACACCTCCACCATCCACCTACAACACTCCACATCCACCTCCAACACTCCAACCATCACCTCCAAAACTCCAACCATCCACCTCAACAATCCACCTCCAACTCCAACCATCCACCTCCAACAATCCAACCATCCACCTCCTTCAATCCATCAATCCACCTCCAACACTCTAACCATCCATCTCCAACACCCCTACCACCCACCTCCAACACTCCAATCATCCACCTCCAACACTCAACCATCCACCTCCCTCCCCATCCACCTCAACCTCCAACCATCACCTCCAACACTCCAACCATCCACTCAAAACTCTAACCATCCACCTCCAACAATCCACCTCCAACACTCAACCATCCACTTCAACACTCCAACCATCCACTCAACAATCAACCATCCCTCCAACACTCCTACCACCCACCTCCAACACTCCAATCATCCACCTCCAACACTCCAACCATCCACTCCAACACTCCAACCATCCACCTCCAACACTCCAACCATCCACCTCCAAACTCTAACCATCCACCTCCAACAATCCACCTCCAACACCCAACCATCCACTTCCAACACTCCAACCATCCACCTCCAACAATCCAACCATCCACCTCCAACACCCTACCACCCACCTCCAACAATCCAACCATCCACCTCCAACAATCCAACCATCCACCTCCAACACTCCAACCACCCACCTCCAATACTCCTACCATCCACCTCCAACACTCCAACCATCCACCTCCAACACTCTAACCATCCACCTCCAATACCCAACCATCCACCTCCAATACTCCAACCATCCATCTCCACACTCCAACCATCCACCTCCAACTCTAACCATCCACCTCCAAACTCCAACCATCCACCTCCAAACTCCAACCATCCACCTCCAATACTCCAACCATCCACCTCCAACACTCCTACCATCCACCTCCAACACTCCAACCATCCACCTCCAACACTCCAACCATCCCCTCCAACACTCCAATCATCCACTCCAACACTCCCACCATCCACCTCAAACACTCCAACCATCCACCTCCAACACCCAACCATCCACCTCCAACACTCCAACCATCCACCTCCAACACTCCACCATCCACCCAACACCCCACCATCCACCTCCAACACCCACCATCCACCCCAACACCCAACCATCCACTCCAAAACCCAACCATCCACCTCCAACACTCCAACCATCCACCTCCAACAACCAACCATCCACCTCCAACAACCAACAATCCACCCAACAATCCAACAATCCACCTCCAACAATCCAACCATCCACCTCCAACACCCAACCATCCACCCAACAATCCAACCATCCACCTCCAACACTCCATCCATCCACCTCCAACAATCCAACCATCCACCTCCAACAATCCAACAATCCTCCTCCAACAATCCAACAACCACCTCCAACACTCCAACCATCCATCTCCAACACCCTACCACCCACCTCCAACACTCCTACCATCCACCCAACACCCAATCATCCACCTCCAACACTAACCATCCACCTCCAACACTCCAACCATCCACCTCCAAACCCAACCATCCACCTCCAACAATCCACCCCAACACTCCAACCATCCACTTCCAACACCCAACCATCCACCTCCAACAATCCAACCATCCACCTCCAACACCCATCCATCCACCTCCAACAATCCAACCATCCACCCAACAATCCAACAATACTCCTCCAACAATCCAACCATCCACCTCCAACACTCCAACCATCCATCTCCAACACCCTACCACCCACCTCCAACACTCCAACCATCCACCTCCAACACCCCAACCATCCACCTCCAATAATCTTCTAGAAGGTAAAGAATAAGTGTCCAAGGAAATAACTCGTAAGGTTATGAAGGTAAACAATAAACAGCGGAGATCATTCAGCCTCTGTTTCCCGGGACAACACGGGAGGTGAAGGTGTTGAGCTACTGTACCTCTAGTGTGGGAGTCCTGCTCGCTGGAAGAACCCGCTTGAGGGTCATGATCAAAGACATTAACTGTTCCTAATGATCATATGACTAACAGATCCCCTGAATGATTCTTCTGTCTTCTTAAAAAAAAAAAGTATGTGCAGAACTGCTAACTCCAAAAGCGGAAGTCTCAACGGTAATTCTCATTTCAACACACAGAAGTGGGTGCCTTCCCACCTTCACAACTGACTGCTGTTAACACAAGAAAACTAAATTGTGAAGAAATAACAGGCTGGATTACTTAATGTGAAGTCAGATACCTTGATTCAGAGAAAGAGAGCGGTGCAGTTTCTAATAAGCCTAACTAACCTAATGTGCATAACATAAAATAATACAATCTTTTTAACTAGTAAAAATGATGACTGTATGGGCCAGACACCCATCATACACTAATTGAAACTGGCCGTCAGTGCTATAAGATATATTTTGGTGGTGTACCGATGGTGAAAGTGTACAGTACATACCCTTTAACACAGTGAGCAGCAGTGAGGATGTGTCGCTCGTCAATGAGTGTGCCAGCACAGATGTACACATTGTCGAAGCCTTCCTTCTTCAGTACCGCAGCTTGCCACGGGTACTCGCCTGTAATAACAACCAATCTCATTTTACTACAAACTTACCAACTATCAAATACAAAAGGTAATTATGTAAATAATTGTCTATTCTATATTATAAACAAAAGGCAACTTTCTGGTTTATATGAGGAAGACAAGTTACTGACCAAATTCAGCGTCGCCCTCTTCCTGAAGTGGGTGGTTGATGCGTCCGTTGACCCCATCGGAGTTGCTCACGCCGCAGGTACCCGCCGTGTTGCTGAAGGAGTTGAAGGTGGAGGAGAAGGCGCCTTGGTAGGTCTCCAGGCCACAACACACCTCAAACACTCCGCAGTTGATAGACGCGCCGGGAGGAGCCAACAACTGCCGCTGTAAACAAAACATAAATTTAGTGTTGCTGCAACACTCATACAAGTACTTTAGTACACCAACATATTTTATATGTACAAAAAGTGTAATAACTTTAATTGTAAAACCATTGATACAGACTAGTGAATGACTTTGAAGTTGTGCTTATACAATTTTACACGGAACTTTATTCAGAATTCACTATTTTTCTCTTATTGATTTCAAATTCGTTACCTTACTGTCCATACCCAAACCAACAATAAAAACATCTTGAATAGCTATAAAATCAACAACAACTTTAGAATAAGAATATAGATGCAGTAAAAAATGTTGGTCTTGATGAGCAACTGGCCGGCAGCTCTGCACCTGCTGAAACAAGTATTATAACTCTCCTGCTGGCCGAATCCCCGGTAACACTGTACAGGTATACAGTATACTTGTTTTGCAGTAAGTTATATACTTACTCAAGTCCTCCTCCTCTGAGCAGTATTGTTGAGCTACTTTCTTAACTGTAGTGTTACTTACCGTGTTACTGCGACACTGAGAGAAAGGTACACTATCTTACCGCCTCAGCTGGTCATGTGGTGAACTTTAAGAAGTTCTGTATTAATTCTTGTGTGATATATATTAGGGTGTTGCGTTAATCGCTCGTCTATATTGTGTATTAATAATGGAATGCTACATTAATTACAAGAAACCTTAGTTTATCAGTCCATACCTTACAGTAGCGGGCAAGAGTTGTGCAGCTGACATGGTAGCACAGTCTAAGGAGGCGGCTATGCAGGGGTTGATGGCTGCCATGCACAGGTAGCCCCGCGCTAGGAACATGTGGATGCCGCAAACCATCAGAGTCATGCAGTGTCGCGCCCAACCCTACCTTCTTGTCTAGTAACGTCACGGGTCCATGTCCAGAGGTATGATAGGGAGACGAGACCACACCGGGAGTTAAGGAGTTCACGGGAAGGCCCAGAGCAGAGTGGAGAGGGGAAAATATTCCTTCAGAAGGAGAGAAGGGCGAGTCAAGCGTAGTGGGAGGCAGGAAAGGAGACAGAGGACCTGGAGGGCCATTCGCAAGAGAAGTGAAAGGAGAAGAGCCTAAGAAGAGGGAAGGAGGACGAGACAGAGAAGTACCTACGCGAGGAGGGGAGTGAAACTTACTCCCGTAAGGTGGAGAGGAAGGAGAGTGAGGTAGTGAGGGGGGAGAGAGGGCTGGGTTGGCATGGTGAGGAACGTTGGACAGTTGTAGAGTAATACCGATGGGGATGTTACTGAGGATGTCCCCGACGGGCCCGAAGAAGCGAGGGGTGGCAGCTTCTTGATGGCGGCCAGCATACTCCTCCGTGGACACCTTGTGAGGGACACAGTACCTACAGTACCACACTCACTACCTACTGCCGTCACGTTACCGCTACACTACAGTACAGTGTTATCGATGCAGCTGAATGTCATCACTATAGCCAGATGTCATCCTTTTGAAACGATGTCATCACTTTAGTGGGATATTATCACTATAGCCTGACGTCATCACTTTAGTGGGATATTATCACTATGGCCTGACGTCATCACTACGACAAACTATCACCGCTACAGCCTGACATCAACGCCCGAGTATAACGGCCTCACTACAGCGTGACGTCATGGCTACAGTATGACGTGTTCTGGACACTTGGGTAAGATTTATCTACCATAAATAGAAATCTGTTTTACCCGATATATAAATAAATATATTCAATGAAATCGGTGACTTATTCAAACTTACTTAATACGCTATGCCAGGAAGATTTTACAACTTAAACTAAACTTGTTTCAAATATCTGACAAATACATATAAATTAATAATTGTAATGATGACACAAATAACTATAAGGTGATACAGGTGGGCAAGTCAGCTAGGTGTGCGTGAGGTGCAGTATACAGTAAACTAGGACGGTGTATCATACAGTGCATAAATTAATATACAATTAAATATACATAAATATGGCAAACGTGTGTTAAAAAGATTAAGCTTAATTGTTTAAATAATCTACTTTAAATATTAAATACTAAGTAATTAAATATTTCTCCTATAGCCGGAGTGAGACGTAACCCGCGGACTGGTTTTATCATTTCCGTATTTGAGTATAAATAATTTTTATCATCATATTTTTTACTCGCGTTGAAAATAGAACCAATAAAAAAAATTAACCTGAGTTATATGAAATTTATGTCGTCCTCAGATTCACACTATCATGAAATTAATGACGTGCACGAAATATACCTGTTATTTTTTAATTGGGGATTTTTCTCCAGGTATATAACACAGTGCTGAGGTATAAATTTCGAAATAAGTTAAATTTACCCCACAAAACAATTATGACATAAAATTAACAATATATAAGTTGGTTGACATTTAACTTTATGCTTCTGTTATGTTTTCTGAGTTAGCGAGACGTGATGGTAGAGTCGGTCATTACTTATCTGGGAACTTAAATCCAGAGCCTGACTCGTTACTGTCTGTTGATCGCACGGCGAAGGCGGAGGAGGAGGAGGAGGAACTAGACGCAGAACCCAGGAATTTGGTGGGCGAAGATGGAGAGAAGGAGGAGATAGGAGGAAGACGAGATGACGAAGAAGATAAAAGAGGAGGAAGGCGAGAAGAGGCAGGGAGAGAGGCCGACGAGAGAGGAGGAAGGCGAGAAGAGGCAGGGAGAGAGGCCGACGAGAGAGGAGGAAGGCGAGAAGAGGCAGGGAGAGAGGCTGAAGAGGAAGTGTCGTCATCGTCGAGGTCAGAACGACCGAAAGGACTGAAACTGGGGGAGAAGCTGTTGGTGTTATAGGGGTTGTCATGGTCGTGGTCGCGGCCGTGGTAGTGTGTATGATGGTGATACACTTCCTGATTCTCGTAGGGAGAGTACGTGGGCTTAGGACTATAGTGCTGGTTGCTGTAGTCGGCTATGGGCTTTGGGTGGTGGTATGAGGGAACAGACGGGGTGTACACGGGCTTTGGTGGGGTGTACACAGGCTTTGGTGGGGTGTACACGGGCTTTGGGGGAGTGTACACAGGTACTTGATGTGTGTATGAAGGCTTGGGGTAGCTGTAGGATGGGGTGTAACCATAATGGTTCTGGGACTTAAACCCTCCGTACCCTCCGGACTGACTGTAGAGGGAACCTGGGTAATATCCACCCTGGTGGTATCCTCCAGTGTTGTACCCTCCGGGGTAGTGACCCCCTGGGTAATAACCTCCACTATATCCTCCACCATATCCTCCACCGTAGCTTCCACCATATCCTCCACCATATCCTCCACCATATCCTTCACCATATCCTCCACCATATCCTCCATCATAGCCTCCCTTTAAGGGATCTAGACCGTATTTGATCTTGTCCTTCAAACCCTTGAGGGCATGAGTACCTTTCGCGTTGGGTGTCACCAGCAGGTCCAATGATGGGTTGATGATCGGCCGCCCGTCCAGGCTAGACACTTTGAGGCCGACGAAGGGATTGATATTGACGGGCCCAAGACTGAGGCCGAGAGGGTTATCGTTATAACCGCCGTAACCGTAAGGAGAGTTGTAGTGGCCGCCACCCGTGGGCAGACTACCAAAGTTAATTCCCACTGAGGGAGAAAATGCCGGTCCCTTGAGGCCGTCTAATCCACTACCACTAGTCACGCCACTTAACAGTCCACCAAGAAACCTCTGTAAGAGGACAAATTTGTGAGAGACAGTGAGGACAGTGAGACAAAGATCATTATCAGCCATAAAACATGCTATGGTTGTGATGTACAATATCATTTTCACAAGAAGAAAAAAGGTATAATCAGTGAACGGAAAAATGAACTTGATAAGTGCAAAATACATGAGAGAAACTGGTAGTGACAGTGCTGTACAAACGGCACACTCAGCTGCCAGACGTGTTAAGACAAGCCAGGCTGCTGATGAAGGTCAACCTTGACACAAGTCACCAAACAGTCACCTTGTATTAACAGTCAACTTCAGCCGAGTGTCTTTATTAAGAGAACCGAGACAGCCAGTAACTTACGGGTGAGGTTTCTTCTTTAATTTCCTCTCTTGTATCACGACGTGAGCGGACCTTCTTCTCTACACCTTTACAATCCTTAAAAACAACCTCTTTCTGAAACATGCAACATAAAAAAGACACATAGTCAATATTAATAACTAGACAGGAAACGTTTGAGCCCACGTTACATAAAGATATGAAGGCAGAATTAAGTTCTTACATTACTTAGAAGATTCCCATGGTACTGCTGAGTGACGTCTTGTACCACGCCTTCTCGCTGCCTCTTGACCAAGGCGGCGCCCACTGGCAGGTCCACAGGCACGGAGGTCAGGCTCCTCACAGGCGCCACAGGTGTTGTCGCAGAAACTTTTATAGGGTTGTCTGTGGACGCTCCAACAAGGAGGTCACTGGTCACAATCCTAATATTGGGGTATGAAGACGGTGAAGAGAGTGAGGAGTGGACGTTGTCTTGGTTGAGCTGAGAACTGTCTGGAAGGGTAATAATGTCTTGATCAAATGTGAAAGGATCGGCATCAAAGAGTGAGGCATCAGGAAATAATTCCTTGCTGTGTTTCCGCGGACGGTTCTGGGAGGGCAGAGCTATCTGGTCGTCAGGCACCTTAGACTCTCTCCGGTGTCGCACGAGTGGTTGAGAACTATTTGAGAGAACTGTGTAGGCTGATGGCGAGTTACGGGGATCCTGGAGGCCACTCAAGTCCTCACGAGCAAAAGGCGAAGGCTCAGCAATTTGCTGGGGACACTGGCCGACGGGGACACATGTACACCCAAGACCTCTGGGGCGTCCCTCTCTTGAGGGTTCCCGGACAACCCTGTTAAGCTCGCCAACACCACCAGCTCCGGGAATGTACTCAACGGGCGGGGTAACAAATACACCATTAAGAGGTGAGGGAAGATGGTTTACGCTGGCATCGAAGGTCTCTTTAAGTTCCCCGAAAGGCGCCTGCTGGTTGTTCACGTTTTCTTTCACAGATGCAAAAGAAGCTGACGAAAAGGACTTGTCAGACCCAGAGAGAAAGTTGCTGTCATAACCAGTGGCGGGTACAGAGTCTCCCACACCGCCATAATCGCCGCCACCGCCACCACCGCCATAACCGTCGCCACCACTGCCGCCACCACCGCCGGTGTTGTCCAACTTATAAGTGTGCTGATGGATGTGGATGTGTCTGACTGTCTGTGGTCTGCCTCCTGACGCTGACGACCCTGAGGGAGCGGCAGGGGCACTGTATCCTGAAGGCGCTGAAGGGGCACTGTATCCAGTGGAAGGAGGTAGAGGGGCATCATACCCAGCGGAGGGAGGTAGAGGGGCACCATACCCAGTGGAGGGAGGAGGAGGGGCACCATACCCAGTGGAGGGAGGTGGAGGGGCACCATACCCAGTGGAGGAAGCTGGAGGGGCACCATACCCAGTGGAGGGAGGTGGAGGGGCACCATACCCAGTGGAGGGAGGTGGAGGGGCACCATACCCAGTGGAGGGAGGTGGAGGGGCACCATACCCAGTGGAGGGAGGTGGAGGGGCACCATACCCAGTGGAGGGAGGTAGAGGGGCACCATACCCAGTGGAGGGAGGTGGAGGGGCACCATACCCAGTGGAGGGAGGTGGAGGGGCACCATACCCAGTGGAGGGAGCGTTGAATATGATAGAAGAAGCCTTGGGAGCACCATATGTGTTAGATGGAGCACTGGCAGCACCATTGTGGGAAGAACCATGGGAGGAGCCACCATGGGAGGAGCCACCATGAGAGTAATCACCATGGGAGGAGCCACCATGGGAGGAGCCACCAAGAGAGTAATCACCATGGGAGGAGCCACCATGGGAAGAGCCACCATGGGAGGAGCTACCATGGGAGGAGCCACCATGAGAGTAATCACCATGGGAGGAGCCACCATGGGAGGAGCCACCATGAGAGTAATCACCATGGGAGGAGCCACCATGGGAAGAGCCACCATGGGAGGAGCCACCGTGGGAGGAGCCACCATGGGAGGAGCCACCGTGGAAGGAGCCACCGTGGGAGGAGCCACCGTACCCTCCACCTGAAGGTGCAAAATAACCACCACCACCTCCTCCTCCATGTCCTTCAGGAGCACCAGCATAGGATGAGTCGTGGTATGTGTTGCCGTGGTCGAAAGGGAGGGCCGGGATGGGCTTGCCTACGGGGCGGATCTCCACAGGCTGCACGTACTGTATCTCGTGAGGGTCGGCGGGCTTCCCGTAGTGGTGGGCGGCTGGCTTGTAACCCTTATGTCCACACTACCGCCAGGTTAGGTTAACAAGGTTAGTAACATTATCACAGTGAAAATTATTAAGTAGAATTAATGATTAATAATGTCCGGACAACATGAGATCTCTATATCCTATATTTTGGATGATGTTTATTATTATTTAATCATAAAACATTCATTACTTTCATTAATGACGCTTGTAGACTCTTCACAACAGACTTATCTAAATTGTTAAAAAGAATGTTAAAGAAATAGCGAATGTATGGAATAAATACTCGCACTACAAGTATTTATAACCCGTTATAGTACCAGGTACCTCCTTCTTTCTTCACACAGCCAAACTGTGGAATGCTCTGCCTTCTTCTGTATTTCCATACTTATACAATCTGTCTCACTTTAAAATGTTGGTTTTCCGGCATCTTCGTGGTGTAGATTAACGCAGTATAACCCTTTTCTTCTCTCTTTTCAATTTCTTTCTGTTCTTCCCCCCACCCCCCCCCAGGCCCCGTTGTGGGTCGTTTGACCTGTGCCCGGTTGGGCTAATTCCCGTAAAAAAGAAAAAAGAAAAAAAGAAAAAATGAACACCTGGGCTCATGATATACCCACTATAAGTCTTATTAATGAATTTAATATTTGTGACACCTTGTGAGGGTGGAAGCCGTCCACACAAGTACCTAATGCACTATACTCTTACTTCTCCCTATCCTCTTCATCCACACCTCTCTACCCGAGATAAAGGAGGTGGGGGTGGGGGCAGTTGTATGGCAGGGAGGGAAAAGCTGGCCAACAGTATTTTATAATTTGACCAAAATGTTGCCTTTCACTGATCCAGAGGTGCAGTACAAGGTCCAATACAAGACATGGGTAGTAAGAAAACTATAGTTTTCTTCTTACTACTGAAGGTCAGTGCTCTGAGTCATGCCCACATTCTCAAATTTAACAATATAATTTATTACAAATATCTTGTAAGGCAGCGCTTGAGAAATTAGATGTATCAGCGTACCCCATGAAAAGCAGATAATTAAACTGGAAGGGCAGTGTATTAAGCCCGTTGTTGTTTGTTTGCTTCATAAATGACATGCCAGAAGCTATACACTCCTCCATACTAATGTTTGCGGACGATGCCAAGTTATTTAAGGATATTAAGAACCAAACAGCCTGTGAAGAGACGCAGAAAAATCTCTATGAGCTTCAATGTCTCGAAGAGCAAACGGGTGCACCTGGGTCGCACCAACAGCTAAAGAGGCGTATCACATGTTCCAACAGGACGAAGAAACTGCATTAATTGAGACAAAATGTGAAAAGGACCTGGGTGTGTATGTCGAAAAAGAACTTAAGTCATCAAATTGCCAACATCGTACTTCCATCATCTCTTTGCGACCCATTGTTATGATTATATTCTGCTAAAATGACAAAAGTAACACATGTAATAAATCAGAAATAATTTTCGACCCATATACATTTTTTTAGCTCTCGAATTTACAAAGTAAATTAGGAAAACAGTGTGTCGTGTCGTCAAAAATCGAGGGAGGGGATAGAAGTGGTATCTGGCAACATTAATGAGGAGTTGTGCCAGGGAGCTCAGGGACAAACTGAAGGAAGGAGCTGCGCAGCGACCCACAATACGGAAACGGTCAACTAAAGATGGGAAGTGGCAAAGAAGTCAGGGTGCAGGTAGATTGGAAAGTCGGAGTAGTGCACCAGCCCTCCCACTAAAAAGGGCAAGTAACGAACCAACTGTAAATAATGCTAACATAATGCAGGCTACTAACCCAGAGAACAAATGCTGTAAAATCAGTCTTCTAAAAGGACAGACACAGAAACAGGGCCGATCAAGTGTTGGTACACTGATGTAATGAGCGCCTTTGCGGACACATAGCAGTCAGACATTATTCGAATTAGCTAAACTTGGGGGTTAAGAAGATGTGTCGCAGGGTGATTTTGTTTTCTTTTTACGGGGATTAGCCCACCCGGGCACAGGTCACTGACCCACATCGGGGCCTGGGGGGCGTATTACCCACCATTTTGAAAAGACAGGACTACAAGTGGTGGTGGTGTTCTACTGCATGTCAAGGATTTGACAGTAACCATTAATGAAGAGCTAAACGAAATTGGATCATCCGAGTCAATTTGGTGTGATCTGATAACCCAAAACAAAAACAAACTGACAGTAGGTGTGTGCTATAGGGCTCACTCGGCCTCGGGGGAGGAAGTAGCAGATCTCCAAGGAGTCATCCAGGCAGCATTCAGAGCACAAGCCCTCATCATGGGAGACTTTAATCATGAGACAATAGGCTGGGTGAATCTTACCACACAAGCTGAGGGAGAAGAGTCCCTTGATCTTATTCAATTGAAGGCGCGTTTTCACGAAAATCAGTCTCCCCATTTTGTTTTCATTTTTTCCAGAACTAAATATCTCTCATTTCCATTGCGTTATCGGAAAAAAATTCTCGAAATTCCGTTACTAGCCGAGTTTAGAAGGTTTATTGTTGTAAGAACTTCAAATATCATTTTCTATCGTTAATGTCTTAAGAGAAAATTACACAACCGAAGTCGGGGACGATTATAATTTTATCTGAAGATGCCATAATGGAATGTTTGCTTTCTGTCCCGCTAAAAACGTTCTCTTTTTTTTGTGACAAGGAACCTTTAACTTTTATCAGCGTTTTTTTTTTTTTACTGTTAGTTGTGCTTCCATGCAAAATATTAGATCCCGAGGACAAAGGCATCACGAAAATTGTGACCAAGTCCCAGGTTGCTGATCCAACTTTCCGCCTCATTTACACACAATTGCAGGGTCTCAATTGTGTCTTACTTTGACAACACAACATACTTACTATATCGTTTCTCACTATTGATTTTTTTTTTGTATTTTTTTGTTTTGTTTTTATTATTATTATTACAATGTTGTTATTATTATTATTATCATTATTATTAAATTTAATTTTTTTATCATAAAAAATATTTACTATGAATTGTTGTTGTTGTTGTTGTTGTTGTTGTTGTTGTTGTTGTTGTTGTTGTTGTTGTTGTTGTTGTTGTTGTTGTTGTTGTTGTTGTTGTTGTTGTTGTTGTTGTTGTTGTTGTTGTTGTTGTTGTTGTTGTTGTTGTTGTTGTTGTTGTTGTTGTTGTTGTTGTTGTTGTTGTTGTTGTTGTTGTTGTTGTTGTTGTTGTTGTTGTTGTTGTTGTTGTTGTTGTTGTTGTTGTTGTTGTTGTTGTTGTTGTTGTTGTTGTTGTTGTTGTTGTTGTTGTTGTTGTTGTTGTTGTTGTTGTTGTTGTTGTTGTTGTTGTTGTTGTTGTTGTTGTTGTTGTTGTTGTTGTTGTTGTTGTTGTTGTTGTTGTTGTTGTTGTTGTTGTTGTTGTTGTTGTTGTTGTTGTTGTTGTTGTTGTTGTTATTTGTTGTTGTTGTTGTTGTTGTTGTTGTTGTTGTTGTTGTTGTTGTTGTTGTTGTTGTTGTTGTTGTTGTTGTTGTTGTTGTTGTTGTTGTTGTTGTTGTTGTTGTTGTTCCCAGGCCCCAATGCCGGGTGGGCGAATCCGTAAAAAAAAAAAAATATATATATATATATATATATATATTTGGTTACAGTCGATAATGTGTAATAATTTTTTAAAGCTCATTATCTTAAAAGTTGTCTAATCATCACAAAAAAATAATGATCTCCTTTGCTTATTGACCAATTTTCACCATTTTAAAACCCATATTACTCAAAATTTAGAGATGCATAACTATGTGGTGCTTTTTCGTCTTGGGGGTTCCATATTTTTCAAGCATAAGTTTTGTGTAAATAAAAGAAAATAATCCATGAAACTTTTCTTGTAATCAGTTACCAAAAGAAATAAAAAACTCAATTTCATTTTTTTAGTAAGTTATGCATGAACAACGACATAATAACCATAAGTGTTATAAGGTAAACAGTAGTGAAAACGCGCCTCCAAGACTCATTCCACACACAACACGTATGGGAATCCACGAGAGGAACAACAGCCTAGATCAGTGCTATTCAACCTGGGTGGACGGCAGTCTTGGGGTGGATGGAGGGATGGACGAGATTTGAAAGGATGGCGACACGTGTAAATGTGTGTCGCCTGCATTGTTTCTATGGAAACATGACGTCACCCGTAATATTTGAAACTCCAACCAATGAGAGGTGGATTCTGTTTTAAATTTCAAAATCAGTGCCCAGTTGACTGTCGTGGAGAGAGTAGGTAAAGTAGCGTTACACTCTATTTCTCACGGCATGTGTTGATGTACCATGAAGCTGGAAGAAACAACAGATGTGGGAGGGGAAGTGCAGTTGATTGTCTACTGTCGCTTTCCAGATTTAGAGTCTTAGACCAAAGTTGAACACTATTCGCGCTACCTCCAACTGGGAGTTAAAACAACAGCGAAGAACATTTTCCAGAAACTGAATTATTTTATGATTGAAGAGGACATTGAATGGTCGAAATGCAAATCCGTCACTACAGATGGTGCGAGGGCAATTGTGAATCAATTCACTGTGTGGTTCACCGAAAAGCCCTTGTTGCTAAGCGACTGGAACATCCAGTGAGAAGAATAATATTGAGCTCCTTCTCGATGAAATCGTCAAAATTATGAATTATATCCTGACCCATGTAAAAAAACCACAGAATGTTCGGTGAGTTGTGCAAAGATATGGAAGCCAACTTCACCAAACTGCTCTTTAATGCCGAGGGGCGGTGGTTATCCCGTGGGAAGGTTCTGAACAGAGTGCTTGCACTGGGAGAACAGTTGTGTGTTTCCTTCACAGAGGAAACAAACCCCATGGCAGTTAAACTTTTGGCTGGCAAAGAAGTCAAACATGGCCTCAATTATTGATCATTTGAACAAACTCAACATCAGTCTCCAAGGCAAAGATCGGTATATTTTCAGAGCAATGGGAAAAATAAATGGATTCAAACTGAAGGTGCAAAAGTGGAGAGCCAACGTAGAAAAGAACATTTTGTCTGATTTCCCGACTTTTGAGAGAATGAGGCTGGGAGCACGGGGTGCAGGCAGCAGAAGAGATG